CAAAGGTCGTGGGTGGCTGAGCGACCGCGGCAGTGCGGTGCGCAAGCAGTAGCGTATGCGTCCCCCCACCCTTCCCTCCTCTCTCTGTGTTATCCGCTCACCTACCCATCCCCCCCCCCCCTCTCTTTCGTCCCCTCGGCTGCTGATCGCCATGACTACCGAGGCAGGTGATCTCCGGCGATTGACCTCACACGTTTTCTCTGCTTGGTACACAGGAAGTGTAACATCGGCAGCGGAGGACAGCTGTGCGCATACACACACACACACACACACACATACATACACACACAAACACAAACACACACGCAGCTCCTCCGTCCCACCCCCGTGATGGTGGTCATCAAGGGAGGCGGTCAGACCTACGCCGTCGGCAACGGTCGCCAGATGGAGTGGGACGAGGTGCCAGAGTCGTTCAAGAAGGCCGCGGCGGCACAGAAGGAGATCGAGAAGTGCGTCGACCTCAGAGCCAAGGCACAACGCTGCATCAGCGACCAGGGCTTCTGGGCGGTGGAGTGCGTCACCCTCACCGAGGCCTTCCACCTCTGCCAGTCGCACGAGCTCACGCGGACGGAACTCGCGCTGCGCAAAGAACCCCAGCAGTAGCGCCTCCTTCCCCCCTCCTCCCTCATCACAGCACATCGTTACCACAACTCCCTCCTGCCCACTCTCTGCGATGTCACTCGATCGGCAGCGGACCCCACGATGACTCCGCAGCGCTGCTTCCTTTCTTTTCTTTCTCTCTCAACGTTGCCAATCGTCGACAGCCGTGTCGTCACCGAGTGTCTCGCTCGCTAGACGGGAACCACCGACTGACTGCCTCCCTCGTAACGGACGTCCGCAGACATGGAGACGTGCGTGCCATGACGCAGGCACACTGGGCTCCCCCTCAGATTCATCCACACCCTCTTCCTCCATTTCCCATCCATCTTCCTCTCTCCGCAATCCGGTGCGCAGCCATAGCAACAACAGCAACAACGGCCCCCCACATCGTGCCCACCCACCCTCGCTCCTCCCTCCTCTCCTCTCTGTGTGTGTGTGTGTGTAGCGGCATCTCTCGCCCGCTGCCTCCCCACCCCTGCGCGTCGTAGTAGCGCTGTAGCAGCGGCACTGAACATACCACGACCGTGTGCAGCCACACCGGTTGCCCACCCTCTCCCCCGCATCTCGCCACCACCGCTTAGAGCGTCGTGGGCGACACCGCAGCCAGCGGCATCTTGTGAAGGCCATCCTGGAACCACCACGGCAGCAACCGCTCCGTGTGCGGTGAGTTGACCGCCACAGCCCAGGCTTTGCTTAGCATTCGTCAACTTTGTAGCAGTAGGTAGCAGTAGCAGTTCCACACGCAAACACATACACACACAAACACACACACACACACCGTGGTCTGATCTCGTGTGCGCGGGCTTCAGCCGTTTCCCTCCTTCCCCCGCCTCATTCCCTCTCTTTTGCCACCGTCATCATCATCATCATCCCCGTCCGCAGCAGGCACACTAGAGGCACACCATGATGATGCGCCAGGGCCTTCTTCGCTCGTCCGCCGCGCTGCTGGATCGCGTGCACGGCCACCTCAAGGACCAGGATCGCATCTTCACGAACCTGTATGAGGACTTCGGCACCGGCATCGCTGCGGCGGAGCGTCGCGGTGACTGGTACCGGACGAAGGACATCCTCCTCAAGGGCCATGACTGGGTGATCAACGAGATGAAGGCAAGCGGGCTGCGCGGCCGCGGCGGCGCCGGCTTCCCGTCGGGGCTGAAGTGGTCCTTCATGCCCAAGAAGAAGCCAGACGAGCGGCCGAGCTACCTCGTCGTCAACTGCGATGAGTCGGAGCCCGGCACGTGTAAGGATCGAGAGATCATGCGCCACGAGCCGCACAAGCTGGTCGAGGGGTCGCTCGTCGCCGGCTTCGCGATGCGCGCCCGCTACGGCTACATCTACATTCGCGGTGAGTTCTACAACGAGTGGCGCTCGGTGGAGCAGGCGATCCACGAGGCCTACGAGAAGGGCTACCTTGGCAAGAACGCATGCGGCAGCGGCTGGGACTTCGACCTCTACACCTACCGCGGCGCCGGGGCGTACATTTGCGGGGAGGAGACGGCCATGATTTCCAGCATCGAGGGCGGGCAAGGGAAGCCGCGGCTGAAGCCGCCGTTCCCCGCGAACGTCGGCCTCTACGGCTGCCCAACCACCGTGACGAACTGCGAGACGGTGGCGGTGGCGCCGACGATCCTCCGCCGCGGGCCGCAGTGGTTCGCGCAGTTCGGGCGGAAAGGCAACGCGGGCACGAAGCTGTACTCCATCTCCGGCCACGTGAACCGCCCATGCACGGTGGAGGAGGAGATGAGCATGCCGCTGCGTGAGCTGATCGAGGTCCACGCCGGCGGCGTTCGTGGCGGCTGGGACAACCTGCTCTGCGTCATCCCGGGCGGCTCGTCGTGCCCGCTGATCCCAAAGCACGTCTGCGACAACATCTTGATGGACTACGACGCGCTCAAGGATGCGCAGACCGGGCTCGGCACGGCGGCGGTGATCGTCATGGACAAGTCGACCGACGTGATCGACGCGATCGAGCGGCTTTCGCAGTTCTACATGCGTGAATCGTGCGGACAGTGCACGCCGTGCCGCGAGGGTGCGCCGTGGCTGGACAAGATGATGAAGCGCTTCGTCAACGGCAACGCCAAGAAGGAGGAGATCTACACCATGTGGGATGTGTCGAAGCAGATGGAGGGCCGCTCCATCTGCGCGCTCGGCACGGCGGCGGCGTGGCCGGTGCAGGGACTCATCCGCCACTTCCAGCCGCTCATGGAGGAGCGCATCGACCGCTTCTGGGAGGCGAACCCACACTGGGGAAAGGCCGGCTCGCCGTGGCGCCGCTGGAAGACCCACCGGTACTACACCATGCAGAAGGGCGACCGTCTCAACTGGGATGGCAAGATTGTGCGCAACTGGAACTAGCCGCGCGGCGGCGATGGCGCCGACCTCCCCACTTCTTCTTCTTCAGCGCGTGAGTGTGTGTCCGTGTGTCCGTGTGTTTGTACTTGTGTGCATGTCTGTGCTTCGTTGCGTTGCTGCTGTGTTGGGTGGGTGGGCCATCAGTGTTACCCGTTTGGCCGACGTCCTCGACGGTCTGCCGTCCCCTCCCATCCGCTGTAGTGGATACAAGTATGTGTGGAGAGAGAGGGGAGGAAGAAGGTAGTGAGGGTGTACGACCCGGGCCGCGCATCTGTCTGTCCGTGTGTGTGTGTGCGTGTCGTGGTGTCCGTCCGTGTCGTGGTGTCCGTCCGTGTCTCTGGGTGCGTGCATGTGTGCGTCTCGTTTTGCCTCTCTGTCTTAGCGTGTCAGACCAACGTGATGCGGACCAGCTCCACACGCCACGACGCGCGCGACGCCGTTGCTGTACAGATGCTGCACTGCGCCTCCCTCCCGCCTTCGTCGACGCCGGGGCCGCGCTCTGTGCGCGCAGGACTCGGTGGCGCCGTCACTCCGGCGACAGACTCTCTCCACCTCCGCCGCTTTTGCTCTACCATCCGACAGCTTACCAACACAGAACACACAAGCAAACAAAGACAAAGCTACTTTAAAAAACCACACATTCGCACCCACACGCGTTTTTTTTTCACAACTCTCCGACGTTGTAGCAGCTACGGGTTGTCCCACACCCTTCTCTCTCTTTTTTGTTGTTGTTCTTGTTATATCTCGCAGACGTTCTTTTCTGCGTGCTCATTCATCGTGGCAGTTCGCGTGCATCACCCAACCACCGCCACCCCCACGCCATGTCTGCCCCAAAGCACCCTGGAAGGGTCTTCCTCGACGCCAGCGACGTCGCCGGCCACCTCACGGACTACCGTGTCGTCGACTGTCGGTACAACCTCAAGGTCAAGAACTTCGGCAGTGTCGAGTACGCGAAGGAGCACGTGAGCGGCGCCATCCGCGCGGATGTCGACACGACGCTCTCGAAGCTGAGCCCGAACACCACAGCCCGCCACCCGCTGCCGCCGTGCGCCGAGTTCATCGAGTGGTGCATGGCCAACGGCATCACCGGCGAGCGGCCGGTGCTGTGCTACGACGACGAGTGCGGCGGGATGGGAGCGTGCCGGCTGTGGTGGATGCTCAACAGCCTCGGCGCCGAGGCGTACGTCATCAACGGCGGCATCCAGGCCTGCCGCGCGGCAGGAGTGCCGATGGAGTCCGGTGAACCAGCTGCGCAGCCGGCGCCGGCGCCGGCGGCGCAGTGGCCATACAAGACCACCTTCCAGCGCCACTACCTCGTTGGCGAGATTCCGCCCAACGCCATCCTGACAGACGCTCGCGCCCCCGATCGCTTCGCCACGACAGTGCGGCCGTATGCTGGGGATGTGATGCCGGGACACATCGAGGGCGCCCGCAACCTCCCGTACGCCTCCAACCTTGTGGTGCGCGGCAGCGGTAAGGTGCTGCGCGACGAGGCGGAGATCCGCGACAACATCCTGAACGCCGTGCATGGCACAAGCGCTCCCGCGGACCTCTCCAACTGCGTCTTCTCGTGCGGCAGCGGCCTGAGCGCGTGCATCAACATCGCCCTCGCCTATCAGCTCGGGCTCGGCCTCCCCTATCTTTACTGCGGCTCCTGGTCCGAGTACAGCGGTGTCTTCCGTTTCCCGATGATGCGCAGCATCATCAACGACCACGGCATGTACCTGCAGATGCGCAGCCCCAACCTCGGTGATAACCCGAGGGCGGACTGCGACACCATGACGCTGACCGTCGACGGCGTGCCATGCGCAAACCCCGACGCGGAGGTGAGGAGTGCCGCGGCCCACATGCACGCCGGCGAGGCAGCCACCGCGTACTTCAAGAGCGGCCGCGTCGTCGCCATCGACGTGCCGGCGCCGTCCACCTAAACGCGGCATCGACAGCCACAGGCACCCAGCCACCTCTTAGCCACCCGTATTTGAATCGCGAAAAAAAAAATGAAACACAAACCCACCCCCACCGCACCCAAGGCCGCCGACGGAGGCTCAGAAAAAAAAGGGCGGACGCGAACAACGACCCTTCCCCCCACACAACCGGCGAGGACCGCCAACACCCGGAAACCCTCCTCCACTTCACTCCGCCTCCCTTTTCCGTCTTTCCCATGCCTCGCCACTTTGCTCCCCACACATTCCAGGGCAACAAAAGGGGCACCCCGCTGCGCCCCACGCCACCCACGATGTGGATGGAGAGCGAGGAGGGGGATGGGGCACCGCGCACCGGCAGCACCGCCACAACCCCGCGGCAAAAAAAACCGACGGCCGCTGCCCCCTTCGCGAGGCATCCCCACGCCACCAAAACGCCCCCAAAACGCCCCCAGAAAAAGGGAAGCGGTGCAAAGGAGCAAGGCGGCGTAACCGCTACGACGGGGACGGCGCCCACCACAAGCCCAGGAACCCCGCGCAGCAGACAAACCCCACGGCACCCGTCCGCGAGGGAGGTCGGCCCAAGTGGCGCAAAAGAGATGCGCAGCTTTTGGGGGGCGCACCGCTGGCGGACCCCCACCCGCTGAACCACCCAAGGGCTGCGAGGGGGACGGCCGGAGGGACAGGACACACCAAGCCGCATGGAATACACCAGCGCGCCAAATGACCCATGGAAGAACCCAAGGCACCGTGGAAAAGAGAGGGGGCACCGTGGGCAGCTGCAGCCAACCACGGAAACGCCGCCGACCCCCCCTCGAACCAACCGCCGCCACCCCCGAACGTTGGACGGCTCCCCTTTTCTTTCGTTTCCTCCAGCATTCCTGCCCTCAACCTGTACAGCCGAACTCCCTTCGGCTACGGCTACTGCTCTCCACCACCCCTTTTCTGCGAGGCACTGTGGTACCAACCGGGCCGTCCAATATGAAACGGCCACCGCCGAACCGCACCATGCCCTTTGACTTTTGGCGCCTCATCGCAGCCATCCCTCGCAGCAGCCGGCGGCTTCCACGCACCAAATCTCCTGCTGCGTAGCCCTCCCGAAGCCGGGCATTCTAACAGATGAGAGGGAGCGGTTTCCGCCCACTGAGGGTGAAAATGGCTGGGGGAGCGCGACGGCCGGATTGCCACCGGAAGCGATGATCTACCCGAAGGCGAAAAGGCCCCTTTGCCGGCGTCATCCTCAAGTGGCCCTTGGCAAGCCGCCAACGGGGCTGAAAACCCGCGGTGGCAAACCAGGCGGCACGCATGAGACACACGCCGCGCACCCGCCAGGCGAGGCCCCAGGCTGGAATGAGAGCGAGAATAGGAAGAGGGGGGGGGGGCCAAGAGTGGAAGACAGAAGAGGGCATTTTGATAGATGCATAGCTGGTGAGTTCTAGACACCTGTTGCCTCTTGTACCCGCACCTTCTTCTGCTCCACAATCCTCCCGCTGTCTCCACTCAAAACCCTCTCTTGTCTGGTGTGTGTTTGGTTTCCATTCGCCACCTGTCATCCACTACAAAAGATATCACGCTTACGAAGCGCATCGAAACAGTATCCATCTCACGGATCCTTCGGAGGATCCCATGGGTCCCTGTCTCCCCTTCGCAAGTGGTACCCCTCTTCGCCAAAGCTGCCCGTGGGACGTCAAGCGCACGCGATGGCCAGTCGGCTACATTGTTCTCCGATCTAATGTACCGATACTCCGCCTGAACCCCCTCCCTCGCGCAGCACGTAATCCACCCCTTGCAGCTCCACCGCGAGCGCCCCGGACTTCGAAATGGTGCGCCGCACCGCTCCTAACACGGACGTGTTGTCGATCAGGATCCAGAGGCGCCTCGGGATGTGCGTTCGTAATTCCAGCAGCCCTAAGCGCACCGCCCGTGCCTCCGCCTGCATAATCATGCCCGGCGTCTCGGGCCATCGTGCGCCCGCTATCAGCACGGGGCCAGCGTCCATGAACAACGCCGCCCCCCGACGAGGAACGCTTCGTGCCTCGCTGCCTCGAAGCACCTGCAGGAGGTCGTCTGCAAATCGCTCGACATAGGGTGTCATCTGCGCCCGTGTCGATAGCGACGCAGTGCCTCGATTGAGGGCGCTCAACTTTCTCCGGACGAACTTGAGAAACATGTAGTACCGGAAAAGGCGGATGCCCAAGATGGCGGCACCAAAGATTGCACGGGATG